TCTTGTCCGTTTTCCCTGGCCTGTGGTGTGCAATTCCCCATCTGCCGTCTTGGTCTGGGCCCCGGGGTTAATCTTTCCGTGGCTGATAGGGAAGCACTCCTGGTGGGGAGGCTTGAAGGCTTGAACTCCGTGTTCCATTAGAGGAGGGTGCAGGTGAACTCTAGGTAGATATGGCTATGGTTTGGCCCTGGAAATTATTTTTCCAGACAAAGGATTTGTTTGTGGGGAAGGCAATTTCCCCAAGAAGCAGGTGCAAGGGGTTTTGGAACAATGTGCTGTGTCAAAGCTGACCCCAGCGGAAGGGCTCTGGAGGGCTTGGCCAGGATCTAGGGTGTCTTTTCTGGCTACTACTAAGCTCTTAGTCCAACCAGGAAGATTACGATGGGTACCTGCAGAGGGAAGCTCTGTGTTCATGGCTGCCTCCCTGCCAGCACAGGGGATCTTCTCTGAAGGCACTGTGTGTTGGACATCTCTCTGGTGGACCCGCTCTGGCTTCAGGACCTCTGTGCCAGGAAGCTGGAAGATGAGATAAGGCCAGAGGAATTTGGATGTAAAGCTTTCTGCATAGTGGCTGGTCCCTGAGGGTCCCCTCTTGCTGATAGCCACAGGAGAAGTGCTCTGGTCCTTCTTGTGCCCTGGGGCAGAAGCTACTCTGGGCTACTTTGTCTTTAGGCTTTTTGTTTTGCCCTGAACCGAGCCAACTGGAATATTTTTGGCTTGCTGGGATTTTTAAGTAACGGGTGTGTCAGCAAGTGCCTCTCATGATGAAAAGGCTTTCATGCGGCTGTCCTCAAAGATGGTCAGAGTCTGGCTTTGGAAAAATGCTCTGTAGTTGTATCTGGGGACCTGGGGAGGAGGAGGGGGTAGTGGGTGCAGAGCGATCCCTGGAATTTTACCCTTGCAGCATCCGACGTACTTGGCTTCGAGCTGTCACAAGCAGCTCACTGGCTGGCGTGAGGAGGCTGCGCGGCTGAGGCTCTCTGCCCGGCCTCCTCTTCCCTCCCCTCCCTGTCCTGCTGTGAAGATGACCAGTGCCCTGAGCTGGCATCAGAGGCAGCAAGGGGCTGTGCCATGCCCAGGAAGCCCCTGTCCCTGAAATGCTGGCATGTCAGGCACCGTGGGAGGGATCTGGGGCAGATTCTCCACAACTAGGAGGGCATAAGGCTGAGTGGCTGTTTGGGGTTTGTGTGTTTGCCAGCTGTAAGGGAACAGCTGCGCTCCAGCCCAGGACGGCGCTGGCGTGTGTCTGCGGGGAGAGCTGAGGACAGAGCTTGCTAACCTCTCTGGACCTGGCACTGCCTCTCGGTAATTATGTCTTTAGTCCTGGATCAATGAAAACTAGATGGCTGGAATGAGAGCAGAGGGAGGTGGTGTGTTCTGATGGCAGAGGCCCCAGGAGGAAAGCTGGACCAGCCCTCTTGGGCAGTGGGTAACCCCTTGCACTGGCACCTCCTGCCCATGATGGAGCTGTGCCTGCTGTTCAGGATAGGAGTAACAACCATGCAGGCAGGGCAAGCTGCAGGCACTCTGAAGGGTCACTATCCCACTGCGTAACATGGCCTGATCCTGTGGAGAGACCCTCAGGTGACCACTCTTGCTGGTCGGTGTCAATGGGTCTGCAGAACCGTGGGCTTCACCCAGCCTGGGACCACAGCCTCGCCGTTCCTCTTGGCTGCCCTGGTGTGACCGGCTCCCTGACAGCCCCTCAGCTGCCTCTTCTCCCTGAGGTCTTCTGCTCTGACCTGGTGTCCCAAAGGGGAAGGGGGAGCCTGCTCATGCCCCGCACCTCCTCCTGCCTGGGCTGGAGGGACATTGGTGAGTGCAAGGGGACAAGGAGAGTTGGCGGGCGAGGGACCTGTCCTCTTCCTTCCCCCTGCTGTTGTGTTTACTCCCTGTGGAAGGGACAGGAAGGAAACAGCCTCACGGCTGTTCTGGCCCCTTATCTGGGGCCCTTCATGGCCCTGCAAGTTTTATTGTTAGCTTCCACATTCTCCAGGCTCTGTTCCCAGGGGATATGCAGAGGTGGGGACCCAGGGCTCGGGAGGCATTGCTGGCTGTGCGGGGCCTGCCTGGCAGCCCCAGGAATCTGCTGGGGTTTCTGCCTGTCCTCCACATGTCTTGCTGCAGAGGCAAACCCTGCTGGTCTGCGTTCGCTGCTCAGGACTGACAATGCTTGCAAACCAGTGGGCCCAGTCACAGGAGCTGGGGCTCAGCTAAATCTCTCCTTGAAGCCAGCGTGCTGGCTCCATTCTTGTGCACCCCAAAAATCTACTTTTTCTGCACAGAGATGGTCGAGGACAGGCTGGGGAGCTGTTAGGTAGCAAGCAGCACAGCTCCTTTGGCAAGGTCGTGTCATGGAGGATACCTTCTCTGTAGGGGAAGTGTTCCTTTCTGTGAAAGGGCTTGATGAAATACTGCTCTGGAAACGAATTGCAGCAAGCCAGTGGGGCTTCTGGCTGGGGTTTTGAGTGTTCCAGTTGTGTAGGGTGTCCGGGACGTGGCAAGGAGATGCTTGCCCTTTCCTGGGGGAGAGGAACCAGGTCAGTGGTCCCAACTACCTTTCCCCAGCACCAGGTAGGACTCCATGAGGCTGGGCCCCGCAGATTTGCTTCTGGTCCATGTGCACTGGCCGTGACCTTCAGTGAGTCCCAGAAGGTGGAGGATCTGTGTCCCTGCTTGAAGTAGGTGGATATCCACCAAAGATAGGGAGTGTTTGACTCAAGGGTGAGAGTTGGGATGTGTCAGCACTGTCCTGGGAGGCACCAAGCCTTTCCTTCAGAGGATCTCTGTTACAAATCTGTGGGGCAGGTGAGACCTCTGAGCAGCAAGGATCAGAGCTGGCCCTGCATTTCCATGCAAGGCATAGGGAGTCAATCTGCTGGGGGGGAAGCCTTAGGCCATACCTGTTGCAAGGTGGGAGGAGTGGAAAGCTGTGTGCATGAGCCAGGAGTCACGTCTGGGAGCCTCTGAAAGTCTGCTTGGGCTCCTGAGCCAAGAGTGGTGGTCTGTGTTCCTCCTGGGGTGCAGACTGTCCAGCAAGTGCCCCAGCCCACGTTGAACTGGGGCAGGGCACTGGGAGCTGAAGCCGTCTGACACAGGTGTGCTTCATCTCTTGCTGGGCACCTCGTGGGCATGAGTAGAAGAACTGGATTTTTTATTGATGAAGGCATATTACAGGGTGGCGGCAACCAGATGTTCAAACATGTTGCAGGCGGCTGCCAAAACACTTAGAAAAAACCCACCCTGCTTCGCTGGGCTCCATCGTGGTGGTACCGCCACTGTGTCCCAGGGGAGCTCTGGGGCAGGGGCAGAGCCACAGGGAGGAGTGGACTTGTTGGGAGTGAGGGAAGCATTTCAGGAAGGGTTTGATCTCGATACACTTGAGATAGTGTGAGGAAATTAATTTAAAAAAAAAAGTCCTGCTTCTGCTGCAGGCTGGGACTGGAGGAGCAGGGCTGCCCAGGAGCGTGGGGCTGTGCGAGGTGGATGGGACAGGGCTCTGCCGAGGGGTGAGACTGCCCGTGCTCCTGGTCCCAGGTCGCCATTGCAGCCGCACTGGGGGAGTGGGCAGAGCCGGTGCTGGAGACCGTGGGAAAGCAGTTTCTGTGCTGGCTGCCTGGCTCAAACAAGTCCCCACATGCCTGCCATGATGCACAGGTTTGGGAAAACCTCTGTTGGGCTTGCTGGGACTCGGCTGGGCTGTGCAGGGGTGGAGGGCTGAGCCCTTGCCACTCCTCTCTGCCCATGTTGTTCCCCTGTTAGTGGGGAACTGTCGGAGATGCTGGGGTCTCCAAGGAGCTGGGGGGCTGCTGTGGAAACAGAACTGCATTTGCCACCCCACCGGCCTTCTCCAGACCCTGCTTCATCCCTCAGAGAAGAGGCAGTGGGAGAGAGGAGCCCGTTAGCCCAGTCTGCTGCCTGCCCTACCTTCTGTTTTGAGTTCGCTCATGTGATTTTTTTGACCTCCTCTCCTGCTGTCCCTGCAGCTATCTTCCCTCCTGCTTCCTCACTGTGGTGGCTGGGCTATCTCTCCCATGACTCTCTGCATCTAGACCTGGCTGTCCCGTGCCTTTACAATCAAACCAGAACTTCCTCCTCTGGCAGGTCTGTATGGAAGAATACTGACTTTCTCTGTCAAAATATGTTGATTGTGGTGTGCTTGTTCACTGGTCTCCTTTGGGAGGGGATGTTGGAGAGGTCCACGCCAATGCCTGCCCATAGATCTGTGGGCTGAGGACCTTCTGGGGTGGCTGCAGCCTCAAGAGCCCTGGTGAAAGCCTGGAGGGTGGTGAGCAAAGGGGCTCATGGGCTCCCCTTTAGGGAGATCCCATCCCACTTCATCCCCTTTCCTGAGTATGAAGGAACTGTGGAACTGGGGCTGTCTCCCCACCTCTTAGGACACTGGGGAGGAGGGAGCAGAGAAGTGACACAGCCCTCTCCCTCCACCCTTCCCTGGAGGAAATAATGGGATGTGGGTCCCTTCTCAGTCTGTGGGAGGGAGTCCCCTGTTCTGCCGCAGGGACATGCCCTCCCCTCCTGCCGCTGGCTGCGGGCAGTTTTTCCTTGTGGGAGGAAGGAACTTCCTCAGCAGCTCTTCTGGACCTGGCTTAACCCCAACTGTTTGGTGTGATGGGGGAGGACCTTTTGCCCCCAAAGTGCCACTTCTCCAAGCTCAAATGCTGGGGCAAGGAGCATCTGAGTCACACCGGGGGCTGTGCTGCTCTGAGACCCTCTTGCCAGCTCTCTGGTGTCGGGTGGGAATGGGTGTTAATGCCATAAGATGATTTTTTTTTTCTTGTTCTGAAAATCTGTCTTAATGAA